AATATATATATATATACATATATATATATATACATATACATATACATATATATATATATACCTTTTTGTGATCATTCGCTTCACAGTTACCGATTTTATATAACGAATATCGTTATATCGCCGCGCGCATGAATGATTCCACCGTTTGCACTGTTATTTTTCTACGATTTTTATATTATCCGCAAACACTTTTTTCTGTTGCTGCGAGAACACTGGGTCGTTGATGTGAAAAAATAACATTCTGCACGATACATGCTATAGCATAGTGTAATCACGCTTATTGTTAGGACATGCCGATTTATTTTCCCGTGTGTTGCGCCGTGTATTTTTCTATCTAGCAAAACCACTCCCGAATCTAATTAATAAAACAAATGCGTGTTTCATGTCAGCATGCGTAGGTATTTATTGTGCAGTGACTAAATTCCCGTGCGCAAAATTTTTCGTGAAAATTAAAAGTATATTTTCATCGCGACTTCGTAATAAATCACGCTTCTAATTAACAGCTTCGCCGTTAAACTGATCGATCGTGAGAACTAATAACCGCGGAATCTGCGCAAACAAATTAATTTTTCCAAAAGAATTTCCAGTTGGAACATCGCGCGATGTTAAGAATGGAAACGCTCCGCGTTTATTCTTAGCACCGAGCGTTTTGCCCGACGTTGAGAGCTTAAATCTTTACAGATGATTCCGTCGTGTCGGTACGGCGGATTTTTATAGCCCGCGGTTTTTGCCCGAGATCACAGACGGCCGTTGGAACTCGCGTGAGTCGCGTGGTACGCTTAAACGGCTTTTTAACATTCGTCGCGTGCAATCTTGTGCACTCGTGTGAGAGGGGGTCAGCGCTCGTGCAAAAAAATACACGTACTCTCAGCTAACTACACGCCACGGAGCGTTAAAAGAGACCGAGCGACGAAAGGCTTATGTGGAACAGCGCGAATCGTGTATATAGCATGTACATACGTCTATGAGGTTACCCATGTATGTAGCCATTTGGGATTTTTTGATCGAGTCAGAGTAGATTTTTCTTCAATAAAAAGAAACGGGTATAAAAAATTTTGGAATATAAACAATTTGAAGCTTGGAAATGTGTAATTAAAAAATGCAAACAAATAAAATCTTATTTTTCAATCGAGTTTTCTTTGCACCTAATTTTAGTAGAGCTTTAATTTGAAGTTCAGCTTTAAGATAGTCTCGACTTTTCGTGGGCAACGTAAAAGAAACGATATCAAAGCTATCGTTCGGCGACGTATCTCGAATTTATAACAATGGGCTAATCGTGCACTGTGGCCAAGCAATAAAACGTCAATGTAACTCTGTCACGTGAAAACGTGACGATAAAATTACCGTATATGTACGGCTGTGCGAGTGGGACGAAATAAGTGACGCTGTAGAAAAGTACTAAAACGATTCCAAGATAGTAAAAACAAAAAATTCAAATGCTAATTTAATTTAACAAGCTGTCGTGAGTTTGCATAAAACATATAACGTGAAGACATTTCGGAATATCTTTTTCACAGCTGCTTATTTCGACGCATAAACCTCGCGACTGAAATTTTGCAATATCCTATTAATGCATTTGCACGATCGCCTAATGCAACTATATTCAACGGCGCTACGGCTCCGTCTATGTGCTGAAGAAGCTATGAGAGTGACGTATTGAATTTATAAAAATCCCATCAATAACGCTTTCCGCGAGAAACTCGTTATCATATTCATTATCGACAGGAGTTTTCACTCCCGCACAAAAATTCCGCCCGCATAAGCTCCTGTTCAAGTGCAGAAAAATTAATGTACTTACATTGTGAATATGAGCACAAAGAGGACATCGGCGCGATAAGCGGTGGATCGATACCGGCCGGGCACAAGTCACACGTATGATAAAACACTAAATTGCAGCCGCGGCAATATTTCATAACGTATCCACGCCGGTCATTATCGCGCTCCATGGATTGTGTGTGCGAACATTTTCGAATCAATTAAGCTTGGCTCTGTGAAAATCATGAAAATCGCTCGAAAAACAGATTCTCTTCGCGGAAAATAACATTGCGCGCGAGCCTGTTGGGGAAAAAAACATTGCGTGATAATATTCCGCTCGTGATCATGCGATATTTTCGCTGCAAGGCACCGTTTGTATTCACCAAACGGTGATATAATTTCGCGTTCGTAAGTTTATATCGGAATAAAAAAAAAAAGAGGAAAAAAAACACGAACCGGCATCAAAAGCGCATAATTTCGGCTTAACACGGGCGCCACTTGAGCACTCCCGCCTCGCTTCGTTATTGCCAATAAACCTCAACGTGTTCTTCGCGTGTGCACGATCGTGCGCGTGCGCGGTTTCTTGTGTCGGCTGTGCAATTCGTGCCGCATCGAACGAAGGTGCATTTAACTTCGCACGTGTGCGAGCTCGCAAGCCATTGAGATAAAACGCGCAGTAAATAAACAGGGGCCACCCGCGCCATTATTTACGACAAGAAATATCGAATCGGCGGTGAGGAAGGTCGAGGGAATAAATCGCGCGGATACGCACGCATACGTGTTTAACAAGTAAGCGAACGTTCGCCGCACGTGGCGGCCAGATCATGCGAGCGCATGATCATGCGCTCGATATCCGGTCAAGTTTCCGGGCTTACAGATGTCATTATATTCGCGTTAGCGTCGCGAAAAGAATCGCTTGTGTCTGTCTCTTTTTTTGCAACGTAATCACTGTTGCCGTCGCGTGAGAATTTTAATCCGAGACCGAATATTCGAGCGTCATCTTTGAGTTTTTTTTTTCGCATGTGCACACGTGATTTAAAATAGTGGTGCGATGTTATCGAGAGAAGTGAATAATATAAGTGTTACCGTGCACAATCGCTTACGTCTTCTTCATAAAGTAGAACAGTCATAATCAGAAGTAATTTTAGCACACGCGTGTTATAAAAAGGGGAATAAAATAACTTGTCCGCGGTAATAATTTTTACAGGAGCCCGCCACTTCCTCTTTCAATCGTCTTCTGCGAAATCGTGCTCGATGGAACTGCGACCTAAATAATCGCGCAGCGAGGCGAATCAGGAAGCGGGGATTAAGGAGTTCCGTCGCGCCGCAGAATGAGGTGTCAGATCGCAGACGGCGGCGGGGAACCGTCGAAGTTTCCAGGTCGATAGGGCGTACAAGAGGAGCAACTCGAGAGGCCGGTCAGGAAATGCAAAGAGTGGAAGCAGGAGGAGGCGCGGATGCGAAGAGGAATCGGAGGTCAGAACGAAGGAGGAGTCTCTCTCCCCCCCTTCGAGAGGGGGGAGAACGAGATGACAACGAGGGTGCGCGGTGGAACAATTGAATCAGCAAAATCAAGCACCCAGGGTCGAGAGAGGAGTAGTAGCGCGCGCTCGAGCGCAATCACAATCCGCTGCGAATTTAAATGCCGCCGCCCTGTGTAAGTCGGCGTGTTCGACCGCGCGCGGCCACCGGAGGCCAGGAAGAAGAGGACAGGAAGCTTAACGGCGTATGCGCGCGACACGGAGCATTGCCATCTCCGGAGATGCATTTCCGTTCATCAGACTTATCCGGTGCTCTACGCGGGGCTCGATTGCGCGAATAAGTCTAGTTTTTAACTGAACTTAAACGCGCTATGCTGCTCCTCGTCGTTTCCTGCGAAATGTTCGGAACATACGCTTGTGTTTTAATAGAAATACACCTGTGAAATTATGTTCTGGAATCGCTTTATCGAAACTTTGTTTGAACTTTACTGCAACTCGACAGGACGTAATTCAAATTTCGCTGATTTCCGTGTTAAAATTAGGCACACTTAAATTAGATTCGGTCGTTACGCTGGGATATCCGATATCGTCCGAAATCCTGCTGCGCTTGCAAATCGCGCTTCAACATAATTTGCATTTCATCGGTCAATTCGGACAGGCATGACGTTACTGTTATTTTTATCGCAGCACGGTAAACGCAAATTTCTCTCGCATCGCCAAATTTTGTATTTACAGTGCAAAAGTAATGCGCATATCATAAAAAAATATATTATCGTGCGAGGTGCGTGCTTTTTTCCAATGATGATTATAGTGGTGCTGTGTATCCTGCGAAGTAGCAATTATATTAAACAAAACGTCGTCAACGCAGTCACGCACGGCTAATAAAATCTCCGAGAGTCGTTCAATGCGCGATGTATAACGATAACCGTAATAACCATAATAATAAAAATTTCAATAAAGTTACAGCTTAACAAACACTCCACCTTTCTCTCAATATCTTAACAGTTTTCGCGATTTATATCGCTCGATTATTCGCGAGCTTATGTTTCTACTTGAAATAAGATAAATCCGTTCATTTTTGCCGAATAACGATTCAAGATCGCCGATCGATTCGGTCATCCGAATTACGGAATATCGAGAAGTCGGATGACCCAAACGTAGCTCTAATATTTACCGGATATTCTGGAGGAAGCTAATCTTTCGATGCGAAATTGTACGTCGTCGTCGTGTAATCGAACGAGCGGGATTCGATTATATTCAATCGAGTGGGCCATCGACCCGCGCGATCGACCGGACTCAAATTTAATCTTCTAATACGGACAGAAGAGAATCACGAGGAAGAGGATACGCGCAGCAGGCGCAGACACGACCCTTCCTTTCGTCGTCGTGTGCAGCTTTCTCTCAACGACAGTCAGCAGCGTCGACGATTTTCCATCGGACTCACTTTTAACGGAATTGGACGGCCCGCTCGGATTTTACGACGCCTGCCTCTGTCTTCCTCCGAATATTTTCGGTCGTTCGGGAGCTCGGGCGCTCGGGGGAAAATAGCGAAAAATACGGGGAAAATATATCAGTAAAGCCGTTCCGCTCACGCGCCCGCGAGCGCGAGCTCCGCGCGTATATTGAGCCAACGTCTCGTCCCGACAGACGTATGAGACGTTTATGCGATATCCGAGTGCATTTAGGACTGGCTCGACTTAGCTCTCGGATACATTCGATATACCGACGTGCATTTTACATATGTAAGCGAAGCTAAGTGTGCCGAGCCTTTGCGAGCGACACGCAAAAATGTCGCCGAGCGCGCGGAATAAATTCGCGTCACGATTAAATTTCTTCAAAAATTCTGTTTATAGATATTGCGTCACGCGTCGATGAACAAAGCGTGAAAATTAATTCACAATTAATAATTCAAATAACATATACGCAGTTTCACGGAAAAATTTAGTGCACAAAAAAAGTTTTTAAAGCATCTAAAGTGGCTTCAGCGAATGATATTTTCCTCTCGTAGCGCGACGCTGTACACATGACTTTCCTTTATTCGTCATCTCATCAGAGAGCAGAGAGAGGATCCTTGGAGAGGATACACGAGCGAAATGTAGGTCACCGATGAGAACGCGAATGATCCATCGTGCCGTCGAGTTTTGTTTCCTCTGTTTTCCACTATTTGAATTACAGAAATAATTTTGTTACAGAGTTTAAAAGGCGCATAAAAATGGCGCATCAAATCTGACGTTGTCGAGCGAACAGAGAATCAGACAGCTGCGATTGTGCGACGGGGCTTTCGCGAAACAATTTCTACGTGCGAATAAGCATCGCCCGCGCGTACGCAGATTTTCTCCTTGAAAAATGACAGGCGCCTCTAGAAAATAGTGACAAAAAGATAGTACTTTTTTATTCGCATCAGTGTTTCCCGTGTAGAACTCCGGCGTGTACATTTGTCGAATGTCACGGCACGCCATGCGCAATTTCCGCAGGCGACCACTCGAAATTTTTCACTCCGCGGCCGCGCCGGATGGGAAGAGCGCTTAATGCGCGGCGCAAATCGGGGCAACGAGCACCGCTGATTTTGAGGGGGTGCCGCGGGGGTGCGGACTGCGCGGCCGCGGAACACCAGCATGGTATTTCGATCAGGCATCGCTCGTGGCGTGGCGTGCAAACGGCCCGCAATTACTCCACTTTCTAATTCTGCTTTGCCGTCCTACCTACGATCTAACGATCAAATTACGTGACCTCGAGCGAGCAACCGAGGTTAGGCTAAAACGTGTCGTAACTCAAGCCGTTCTTTCGCTTCCCTACTTTCGCGATATGATACTTGATCCTCTTTGCGCAGAATTATGAGGAAGCTTTCCTATTGATATTAGAAGTCGATAACCTTATCTTGTTTTAATCCCACCCGCAGATAATTTATCTCTAACTTTCCAATCTCTTTTAAAATATCGAACAAATTACGGCGCAATACGGTAATAAATTTTGCCTTACTCTATTTGCTCGCTAATTATAGGAAGCAGGTGCTTAAGAAAATATAATTTCGCCGAAGAACACCTGCAGTTCTCCAAGTTTCGCAGGGATCCTCCGCTGAACACCGTCCACCACCAATGACCCATTTAATCCGCGGGTAATTGACCGTCACGGCTCTCTAATCTCAGCGTTAAAGAAATTCGTGAGTAACTTTCGAAATCTGTCGCGTTGCTTTGTACTTCGTTGCTCGGTAAAACTACGGGGAAACTCCATCATCGGGAAACATTGCTTTCGGGCGAACGGTCGACCGGCTGTGCTTCCTACCTCCGATCGCGATTCCGCGCGTGGACATTGAAGTTTTACGGAGCGTGAACGAAATACGTGAAGGGTGGTGTGGAGGGTGGACTGGGAATGGAACCGAATCGAGGAAGAGTTTCGTCTCGGCAGCGATATTATAGATTCTCCTTCAAGAGCGCGAGGTGCGAGGCGCCGATAAATGAAGTTTCGAGGAACGAAAGAAATTTTCGATGAACGCGATGAAACGGCCGAAATTATCGATCAGAGCGCAAGATAAAGATATCGTAGCGAAAAATTTTAGTTTCAATCAGCAAGAGAAATATACACCAAATCGATGGACAACGTACTTCAGTTTTTATAGCCCCGCGTTCTGTTCTCTCAGCCATCTTTAGTCATCGATTTATTCGTAATTCTACAATTGTTTTTACGATTCGTGCCGCTTATTCGATGGCATAGGATGCTATATTTCGTACGCTGTAGGATCCTGAATAATAACGTGAAATACATATGTATAACGTATCAGTTGAATCGTTCAGAATTTTTAAAACATTTCTCTATAAATTCAGTGAGCGACAATATCGCTGTATGATTTTATCGATGCAGTTTAAAGTTTTTTTCGAACAATTTAATTTTTTTTCTATGGAATTTATTTTTTTTTGTGCAATTACATTCAGAGAAGTATGCTGTTTGCTGGACGTTCCATTTTAGAGAAGAATCTACAATGTTAGTGGATTTAAAAATTCTGAAAATTCTTCACTCTCGAGAGTCTTTTTTAATGGAATTAAGAAATCGTTTTATGCGCCCGCAAACAGCCAGTCCTTCCAACCGAAATTACCGCCAAACTGGATGCATTTGTATAAAAATGTATTACGTTGACCAACACCGTCGTTTTTTGAACACTTTAACGTAGAATTTTTTGATATTATTCCAACGAGAAGTGAAAGAAATTGTACCGCGCGTAGTTAATATTCATATCGTCAAATTATTTCATTTCATACTCTACTATGGTCTTCTTTACGGTCACAAAACAACTTGCCGCTACTTCCCGTCTCTTTTACACGCGCGTATACGAGACACATCGCGAAGCAAATTTCATCACGTAACATGCGGAATTATTTTGTACGCGCGACAGAGAATAACTAAAATTTCTGTAACCGTATCTAGTGTCGCGGGAAAATGCAGCACCGTTAATATAAAACAGAAGCACTCTCAACCGGCGGTGAGTCACTGACGCGATAATAGTTTGCGCCGAAAATTTTCACATCCTAAAAACGCGCCGTGACATCCATAAAGTCTGCCAGTCGTGAAAATTCGGGAACGGCTACAGCCGACGTGTACAAATATGGGCCGGCGCGGCGAATTCCGAGTTGAAAGCACTAAAAGAAATTTATTCATAGCCCGCATCTATCCGTAAGATAACATCTTCCGGAGCCGCGCTACAAGAAATATACGTCTTGCGAGAACGTCGCGCGAGTTCGTTCGCGTCGGAAACCCGTCAAGCCGCGGCGCCGATCGATCGATGAGAATCGCTTTGGCCGTACGTTCTTCTAGATTCCCCGTCTGAAATCTATGAATATTCAGCGGCAGAGTGTTTTCCCTCCCGTTTACTACTACTTTTTCACGCGACAGTCTAGTCATAATCTCTCCCTTTATCCTGTGTACATCAGATTAAAATCTGCATTATTCGCGTGCAATGCGTTCGTTAACGCACACGTTGACGCATTCAAAAAATCTGGTTCTTTTAAATCGTCGCATTAACTAAATTTTTCGTATGATTTTAAAATGCAACACACTATAAACGTTTGTTAATTAATTTTACATTCCGCGGTGAAACTAAGAGGCGAATAGATGTTTAAAAACGCGGGCAGCCACCGGCACAGTCCTATAGCTCGTGAATACGTAATGCAGCTTTCTTTGGATATGAACGCGGACGAAGCTTGCGTAAAAAAACAGCGCGAATGCTCTCGGCAGAAAATAAGAAAATAAAAAGGTAAGAATCGTGGAAGAGCCGGGAAGAGAGAATAAAAGCACTTATTTTGATACGCGAAACACATGACGCAATACGACGAGCTTAATTTTTTTAATATCAGCGAAAATGCGAAGGCAAAGGCCGAAGACACCTATTTCCGTGTTTGCCAATTAGCGCGTCATGTTCTTGTATAATGAAAGCGAACTCGATTAGGCGCGCCTAGACAGTCGTTACGACCGGCTGGCTGTAGGAAACGCTGTTTTCGAGTGGTTAATGAATGCGGGAACCGGTAATTAGTTATTGGTTTTAGCATAACGGACACGCGTTTATGCGCATGTGGGCCAATAACCGTGGCAACAGGCCTCCGGATGGCGCCTGATGCGACAATGCCGGTTGCATACTAATCACAAGCAACCGGAACGAAAATATAACAACGCGAAACGAGCTCGTTCGACGATGCCGCATGTACGTAAGAAGCGAGAACGAGAGAAAATGGCCTTAATAATCTTCAATCGAATCTTAGTTAATAAAAGACGTGATTATTCGCAAACGCGACGCGCGGATGAGAACTTAGAGGCACGTCTCGCAGTCGTGCGTTTGCACTCGTCTGGAATAATAGTCTGAGATAATTTTATGTCGCGGATGTTAGCGCGAGATTCGACGGGATCGCGGAATATCAGCGCCGACGACCCGCCGCT